AAGTTGTCTTGTTCACAGGTCATATTTTAGCACTTTATACATGGAGTGGCTGGATGATTGCATCTGGATCCCAAGACAAGACTGTAAGATTCTGGGATCTGAGAGTGCCAAGCTGTGTTCGTGTTGTGGGAACAACATTTCATGGAACTGGTAAGACTTGCTATGATGCTTCTGATCATCTTTACATAAAAGTTTTTTTTTTAAAGATGTCTAAGTAGTATAGAGTGAATGTAAGGAGTTTCTTGCATCACAGAATGGAGGCTTGGCTTTAAAAGAAAGAAGTTGTGAGGGTATCTTTGCCTGTGTGTTTTGTGTTGTGGTTTGTTGTGTGTGTTTGTTTTTTTTAAAGTAATATTTCTTTTCAAAAGTTGGCTAGTTTTTTGCCTTGTGATTTTCAAAGGCACTTCCAAGTACATTAAAATAAAACAAGACACAAGATACCTGTTTCAGAATCAAAAGAAGGGGTGGGAAGGAGCAGCCACTTTTGCAAGTCGTCAACATACTCTATAGAGATCTGCAAAAGGATTATTAAGAATCACTTGGGTTCAGATTTGATTCCTGAAACCTTTTTGGGGGACAATAAATTGGAACAGGGGGGAGAAGGGGAATTCCTTGCATTATTCTACATTATCTCATAAAAAGTGACTTTCTTTCCTGTGAGGAAACAGATACTTTTTCTCCTGCAGATTTAATAGTGGTTTTGCTACCATTCCAGTGTGACCTATGGCTTCAGACTTTTAGGTGCTGGAATGTAAAGGTGTTCTTATTTTAAGATAACACTAGCTAGGTTTGCTCACCTTAAATTTAAGGCCGGCATTCAGTATTCTTATACAATGTATATTCTTGTTTTTAAAAGAAGTTGTCTATTTGCATAAATCTACATAAGTATAATGTGTGTTGTTTGGGTTGTTTTTTTCTCCTATAGGAAGTGCTGTAGCCTCAGTAGCTGTTGATCCCAGTGGTCGTCTCCTGGCTACAGGACAAGAGGACTCTAGCTGTATGTTGTACGATATTCGAGGAGGACGAATGGTGCAGAGCTATCATCCTCACTCCAGCGACGTTCGTTCTGTTCGCTTCTCTCCAGGGGCACACTATTTGCTCACAGGATCATACGATATGAAAATAAAAGTGACAGACTTGCAAGGTAACATACTAAAAAGGATACTAGCTTAATTTTCAATTTGGTGCTTTTTAGTATTGAAGTTGTAAGAGAACTTGGTTCAAAGATCAGATTTTAGTTTAAAAGGGGAAGAAAATAGTAGAGCTTTGAAGGGTTTGAAATGTGTCTGTTCACAGTTGGCAAGTTGTGTTGCTGAGATTGTAGGCTATGAACTAACTCTTGTTTGGGGTGGGGGGGGTCTGATTATGGTAGAAGAACTAATTAATACTTTCGCCTGTTGAGATGGCCATTGCTTTCAGGGAGCATTCATAAAACTGACCCTTTTTAAAAAAAAGAAAGGAAGAAAAATGTATAATAATAATAATGCTTATTTTTATTGGGAAGAGTTAAGAAGAGAGAAGATATTGGGTATATTTAAAAGACTTGACCTTTAAATTTTAATGACATTATTTAAAAACTGTGAATACCTGACTTTTAAAGTTGTACTGTGTCCAGTGATGCCTAAAAACCAAAACACTGGGGCTCTCATTCTGTGTGTGAGAGAGAGAAGAGGGGTCAAGTATGCTTCATAACGTGAAATACATATGTAAACTTTACTAAACAAACGGGGCCGGGGGAGAAACCCAAACAGCTGGTGTATAAATTAATGAAACGACTAACGATTTCTGTTCCTGTGCCACAGGGGACCTCACGAAGCAGCTTCCTCTTATGGTGGTAGGAGAGCACAAGGACAAAGTTATTCAATGCAGATGGCATACACAAGATCTTTCCTTCTTGTCGTCTTCTGCAGACAGAACTGTAACCCTTTGGACCTACAACGGGTAGAGTGCAAACAAAGGCAACCTATGCAGCTAAAGCACAGCCACCTGAGACTACACAACTGTAAAGACAAAGTAATAATAATTAGGCATTGAGAGAGCAGCAGTTGAGCAGGAGAGTGTGATAGCAAGAGGAGGGGCACTTGTCACAGATTTTTCTGGGTTTTAGGAGGTCTTGGTGTTTTTAGTATACTTCTTTTGCAGTGCTTTCAGTCTTCCATGTGAACTCATGCTGCTGTGACCTATTGTAGTCTTGTTGCCAAAGTCTATGAGGAGAACTCTTATGTTGTCGATGTGCACTCAAAGTAACCTGAATGACGTGTTTACAGTTTGGTATTAATTGCATTCCTTGGTCTTTGCCTCGATGAGAATTTTATACAGAAACTTAAGTTGAACACGGCTTTAATCAAGTCTGTATGTAACTACTTACACACACACAAAAAAGATTAATTACTTCCACTGTTTTTTCAGATTTATTATATTCATCACTTCTCAACAAGAGGTCAAACTTTATAACATCTCCACAGTTTCAACTTTTTTAGTAATAAATTCTGAACTTTAAAGGTGACTAGGCAGTAACTGTATCTTGATTATGGTCCATCATGTAGTGTGGGTTCTTTTTTTTTTTTTTCATCTAAACTGGGGGAAATGTTGCTGTTTTTACTATGTGATGTTGTTTTGAACAAGCTAATAAGTTGGAGGGGGGTAAAAGTAAAATACTAATTTTTTTTTTTTCCCTGTAGAAACATAATATTTTACTTTTTGAATGCAACAGAATACCTCTGTGTATAATGTACTGTAGAAAAGAGTGGATTGGCAGCAGTTGTCACAGTGAGCTTAATGGCTATCAGTTTTTCAAGTAAACAGGATACCATTAATGCTATAATAGAAACCAGCATGGCTTAAAATGCTATGTCTGCATGATAATTTAAGAATTAAGTTGTTTGAATTCCCAGTTCAGAAGCTTATCTGAATTTTATTTCTTGCACTGTTTATGTATGGGGAAACTGCAGTTTTATTTCTATGAAACCTTAGATTCTAATGTTTATGTATTGTTATATTTTCATATTGTACAGTTCCTTTTACTTTTTAAAATATAAACCTTTAAACATTAGGTTATTTATTTATTTGAACTGCAGTTAAGTTTTGGATTCTCTTGGTTACTAAATTATATGTGCACCGTAGCAAGCATTTTTAACTATCGTATAAAAGTGGAAAGGTAACTATAGAAGTGTATCTGTGCTATAATCTCAATAAAGACCTCCAACACCTGCAGTTATCTCCTGTTATTTTGGATTCTCGGTTTTTAATTGCCCCAGTGCAGCTCCAATACTTAAACTGTACATCAAAATATGTTGTATGCCTAGAACTATAAAAGACGTTAGATCTTTGATACAATTTCCAAGTATTTAACTCTGCAATACGGTAAGTAATAAATAAAGACTGTTGCTGTATGCTACTGTATTATTTTTCTGTGTTGGTTAAGGTCGTAATGCTGCTGTGGCGGAAAATACAACTTCTGCCTATTCTGTTCCTCCAGTTGTCTGTCTGTGGTCAAAGCTCTTTTTAATTAGCACCACAACTCTTTAAGTACTAATTTCCTTAAATGAATTACATTGCTTGTGTCTTTACAGAGAGGATCTAGTTTTAACTCTGCTGGTTTATGTCCCAGCCGCTTGCTGTGATTCTGAGCTGCCCTACTTACTGAAGGGAAATCTTCCTGTATGTCTGCCTGCACCCGTAGGCAATTAGAAAATAAATCCCTGTACAGGCCGCGAAAGGAACCCGCTACTAGTTTAGGCGTTAATTACTCAGGAGAGCGTCCCGGGTTGCTCTGCGGCCGTGGAGTCTCTGCTCCGACACCCCCCGACCGCCGCGCAGGAGCGGCGGGGCCGGGGC